TGACGCGGAAGCGAAGTGCCGCATCGGAAAAGCGGCGACAGTCTTCTGGCGGACGAACAAAATCTGGTCCTCACCAACCATCTCATTGAGAATCAAATTCCGCCCGTTCACATCCAAAGTGATTCGGATAGCTGTTTATGCTATTGCGTCCTGGAAGACGTCGGAAAGCATCAATAGAAGGCTCGATGTCTTTCAACAGAGATGCTTACGACGAATCCTAAAGATCCGATATTTAGATCATATCACCAATGAAGAGGTTCTCCGAAGGAGTGGGATGTGTAAACTTCATAACGTTGTCGCCCGTAGAAGAGTCCGACTGGCCGGCCACATTTTTCCTATGGAGAACAATATGATCCCTAAGACTGCCACGAAATGGATTCCCCTGGTGCCAAACGACCACGAGGACGCCCCAGGAGTACTTGGCGTAGAACTTTTCTTCAAGATTTGAAGATGCTCAATATTAGTTGGGAGGAAGTTGAAGCCTTCGCCCACGATCGAAATCGATGGAGGATAATTGCTACCCGTATGCTACCGTAGCATTTGAGGAATCAGATGTATTTTGCTAGTCTACTCTTCTCCCTCTCGAATGGCCTTTTTAATACGAACTCGAACATAATGAAAACAAGGTACATTTTACTGTATACAATAATTGTAGCTTTTGTCCAATGCGTTCGGAGTGCTTATCGTTGCCAAATAGAACTACGAGGTATAAAACATGAAGATTTTGTTACCGATGCAATAAATGCGTGGGATTTTTCAAATCATCACGCTACTATGATTTTATTTCGCATTTATCTTTACCAGCCGTCGACGTAATGTCTTATTATACACTTTTTCTTGGCAAGTTATTGTACGAGAAGCGACGTGCGTGGAAAATGGAGAATCGCGTGTTTCGGGGTAATTATACATTTACGCATTTATCCGAAGAAAGGAAATCGTCAAAATGTTTTTAATGTAGAAAAAACGGCATAAATTTGACGATAAAATTATTTAATAAAATAAAAGTAATCGTTATAAAGTATGTTGGAAATGTCAATCTTAGCAAGTTTTCCAAATACGCATCATTTTGTGTAACACGTTTCCAAACTGTAAGTTACTAAATAAAATTGTTAACAGTTTAAACTAGAGAAGCCAGCAACAACAGTAAAGTCTTTTGGAAAATGAATTTTTCTCTAACAGTTTTATAATTTGTATTGCAGGATCCATGTATTCGGAACATCTTCCACCTTCGGAAAGAGAAGGGCGAGGATCTCTTTATTCGTTAGATCGTTCTTTTAACTTGACCCGTCATCAGAGAAACATAGGAATATCGAACGGATTAGCTTGGAGTGGGGATAACAAATTAATGTTTTACGTCGATTCGTTGTGTAGAAGAGTTTACGTTTTCGACTACGATCTGCAGAAAGGAGAAATAAGTAAGCTCCTACGAAATCCACTCGTAGTCTATAGCTTTCGATTTTCTTGATAGACCCATTTATGTGTCGCAGGTAATAGAAGAACTTTAGTCGATTATAACGTAAATCCCGAATTTTGCGAATTTGGCTTACCGGACGGGATGACCATCGACGAAAAGGGAAAGTTGTGGATCGCTTGTATCTACGGAGGAAGAGTCTTGAGAGTCGATCCGGAAACCGGTGAGTTACGTAAACATTACTGTAGTTTTCTCTTACTAACGAAACATATAAATAGGCATAAATATTTAAATATTTACTTATATTAATGGGATTTATCGAAGAATAAACCGCTAGATAAATGATGCAACTTTGAAACTTTACTTTCGTCTTTCTTAAATGAAACGGTTCTTGCACAGAATCGTCTAAAACTACCCGTTAACTTTTTCTCGGTAGTGCTGCGGATAAATGCTAGTAAATATATTCTTTAGTAGGGCCTTTTAGAGTGTTCGAAAGATCCTTCTAAAGAGGTCCGAGCCGTTTACCTTTTTGAACCATTCAGTAAATAAAACAAAGCGGAATTAAAAATTATGTATTGTATTTTTAAATAGTAAAATCTGACTAAAATATTGGTTTTTTGTAAATACAAAAAATGCAATAAAATGAAAAATTTGTAAATGTTTTTTATCCCCCGTAAACACGAAGTTCTATCTCGCGGTCCAAATGTCCCGTCTACGATTTAATCTATTCTTTACTTATGATCGTCGGATATCGTGATAATACCGCTTAGTCCTCGTTTGCAAACCATAAATAGAATTATGCTATTAATGTAAAAGGTAAACTTTACGAGATAGTTAATTTTACAAAAATTCAAAAATTCCCACAACCAATCAGAGCATTGCTGATAAATGGTCGAAGAATGTTATCCAATAGATGATAAGATAACACCCGTATCGATTTCATTGTTCCAGATAGCTTCGTACTTTATTGTTGTTCGAATATTATAGCAACCGTAAAATAAAAAATAGAGGATAACTTTACAGCGATTTTCTTCTGTTATAAAATATTCATAAAATGTCTAAATTTATTTATTTACAGCGCAAATTCTACAAACCGTGGTTCTGCCGGCTCAGAACATTACGTCTTGTTGTTTCGGAGGGAAGAATTACGAGACGCTTTACGTCACTTCCGCATGGAAGGGACTATCGGAAGCGGATAGAAAATCGCAACCGGAAGCTGGGAAATTGTTTAAAGTGACGGGACTGGATGTTAAAGGCTTACCTCCCAGCAAATTTATTGCCTGAGTTTCACAAAAAGGGATATTGCAGCGGGAGTCGTATCCAGCGAATTGCAGAATTAAATTACGTAAACAGGCGAAATTAAGCCCCGAACGGGATGAAATGATTACAAATTCAAATTAAAATGATTGATTTTTCAAAATTTTTATGTAAATTTATATTACCCGAATAAAATTCGTTCTTTCAAACGAAATGTTTAAATGAATTTAATTTGACGTATTAATTTTTTGCATTTTTACTACATTATTGTGTAAAATTTCATATATTTTCCGTTCGAAATTAATCTAAACGAGTAAGAAGATATTTTCTATTGTCAAATTTACACAAAATTCAAAAATACCGGAAATGTAACGTGTTTTTGCGCGCTAAAAAGCAACGTGTCGGTGTGACAAAAAATCCATTTTAAAATGTTTTGAACGGAGCATAAAATACAGAAAGATTAAAAATTTAATTTTGTGCACATTATTTAACTATAAAAAATCTTTTAAAATATATTAAATACGTATTTATCGTTTCATTAATGAAAAACATTAGAATCGCTACGATCCTAGATCTATGTTTCGTATAGGGAATGAACTCATCTTCAATTATAGCATCGCGCAATCGAAGATAAGGCTTTTATATAGATTAACATTACATCGACACACGCGAATGTCTACGTTTGATTTAGATTCAAGGTCGATGATCCGAACCTTACGCAACCAGAGGAGGGGAGTATCTATAAAAACCGGTAACTGTATCCGCGCTGACAACACAACAGTCGACAATGTCGGTGACAGCCGTGTCGAAACACCTTTTTGACTTGGGAGAAGGTCCCTTTTGGGACAACACCTCCGAATCTCTCTTCCACGCCGACTCTTTCGTGGGGGATTATTGCAAACTCAATCCTAGAACTGGAGAAACCGAATTTTTACATCTAGGTAAGGTGTTAATTTGTCGAAATTTCTTTCCAGTATTTGTTACGCCATTCCGTACTTTCAGACGGTGGACTGACCACTGTTATCATTCCGTACAATTCGCACCCCAATAAATTGCTGGTGACTCTTCAAAAATTAATACTAAAACTCGACTGGAACACTAAAGAGACCGAATTGTTAGCGGAAGTAGAACCTGATATTTCCAGATCCAGATTTAACGATGGAAAATGTGACGCCAGTGGCAGGTTTTGGGTCGGTGAGTAGTTTAAAATGCCGTTTTTAATCGGCCGTAAAAAATTTGAAGATTAATTTTTGCATATTTCCATTTCAGGTACCGTGTTGGAGAAGGAAGGCGGAGGGATAACGGAGGGCGGAGGCCATTTACACAGCATGGATGTAAATTTAACGGTGAAAACACACGACGTTAAAGGTGTTAGTCTGTCTAACGGAATGGATTGGAGTTTGGACAACAGAACGATGTTTTTTAACGATTCGGAAGGGCAGAAAATATTTGCCTTCGATTTTAATTTGAGCGAAGGATCAGTCAGTAAGGGGCACTTCGTCGTTGCATTTTGACGTCTTAGTTAATTCTTTAAATTATACAATCTGGTTTTAATTAAGGTAATCAGCGAATTTTGGCCGATTTTAACGTCACACCCGGCTATAAAGATCTCGGCTATCCCGATGGTATGACCGTCGACCAAGAAGGAAAATTGTGGGTGGCGTGCTTTGCCGGAAGTCGGGTACTTCGCATCGATCCAGAAACAGGTAATACTCGACACACAATTTCTTAAGAGATTCCGTGAAGAATATTTACAGAAAAATTCCTATTTTAGCAAAAATACTCCAGCAAGTAGAATTTCCCGCAAAAAATATAACTTCGTGTTGTTTTGGAGGACCGGGCTACCGAGATTTGTACGTTACGTCCGCTTGGAGAGGTTTGAGCGAAGAACAATTGAAGGCCCAACCTAAGGCGGGAGCAGTTTTTAAGGTTACGGGTTTGGGTGTCGGAGGACGACCCGCAAATACCTTCCCAGGTTAATGCGCTGGGTGTTTCTCGATATCGGTATGGAAAACTTCTAATTTCCACTTAAATAAGATCGAAACGATAAAATGCGTATTGAAATTAATATTATATAATAAATATATTTATCACTTAATCATTATTTACATAAAAATACATCAAAAAGCTAATGTAGCTTTCGAAAAATATAAAATTTACTTATTAATCTGTGAACAAAAATGTTTAAATATTTCACAATTATTCTTAATTTAATATATTTTGGATACCTCTCGACATTTAGTCTTTTCTTTGGGATGTATTGAAAATTATTCGTGCGTCCAGACGTCTGTACTTACGAACGAATGTGACTATATAACACGGAAAACTAGCTAAAGTTTATTTCCTCCAATTAGCTAGAGAATTGTGACGCAACAGTTACTTAGTTCCAACGCCGTACGATACCATTCCAACGTTACCGTTGTTGCACCTTTGTTCGGGGTCTTTAACGTTTATTTTTCTTTTCCTGAATATAAAAAGATGTCATTTTATATATTATAAAAAATGATTTTTAATAAATAAATATAAATATATTTACATTTTATGGTGGATGACTATTATTGTAATTGATAATGTTAATAAACACGTAGCTCCAATAGCAATTCCTATACCTGAACAAGTATAATTGATAAGAAGTTATTGGAAAATAATTTGATATTATTACTTTATTAACCTACCAATGATAAAATACGACGGTTCTTCGTCGTTATGAGGTAGAGTAGATTCTAGAATTTAAATTAAAAACAAAAATTATATATTATTTGTATTAAAATTCAATTTTACACACCCGATCTGGAATATTTTAATTTTCCTCACCTTCGTTATACTCAATTTTATTATCTTCTGTGCTCGAAGTAATATCTGTGTGTTAAAAATGTATACAATATATTTAATAATTAATAATAATTATTAATTACATTATTTTACAATACCGTAAACTTTTTAGCATATTAATAAACTATACAATTGTCGGCATCAGTTATTATTACCCTTTATATTAAGAATTTGGTTAATTTTTTCAATTTTAGTTCCTTATCTCTGCTTCAATTTACATTTATATGTTGATTTTTTAATAATATGAAATAAATACATTTTAGTAAAGAATTAAAAGGCACTTCTAACCAATTAATTGCGTACAAGATTCGCCTTTAAATGAAATTCGTGTCAACGTAGTCAAATCATTATTTGAATATAGGACCGTCTAGAGCTCGTACGGAGTCTGATTTAGCCTTTTTTTCAATTTATTTTCTCTTAGTAAAGATAGCATTAATTTTGTAGGGGTAGAACCCCTATTGTCGTGTAAGCTTTCTCCGGGACCGAGGAAAACTCCCCAGCTTCCCCTTGAATGGCCCCGTTTGGAAGTGGCGCGTTATAGATTGAAGGGGCCCGGGCAAATTTGAATTAGTGTTGACTTCAGACATCTTTTGGAGAAATTTTTGGGGAATTTTCTGATATTTTCGTTGGATTTTTAACGCGATCTCTGGAGGGTTTAATGGTAAACTGGCAACTTAAAAAATGTTTTGGAAGTTTTTTCAAAACTTACTTTCGATTGACTTCTTGGGGCTACATAACGGGCGTGGACCGCTCCATTTTCCGGTGCCGAGACAAATATTATGGGGTGATCCGACTATCTGAAAACCCGAAGAACACTCGTATTGAACCATGCTGTTAACGTGAGTGGAGTCGTTCAGAAGATGGCTTAGTCCATTTTTTATTGTCTTTGGTTTCCCGCAATCTATAACTACATTACGAAATAAAAAATATTTAACAATTTAAAGAGTTTAACGCTATAAAAAATTAAACAAACCTTGGCAACGAGGTTGGGTGTCGGACCACGATCCATTTTCTAAGCATTTTCGTATATCTGGACCATTCATCTTGTAAGTACTCGAACATTCGTATTTAACCACACTGCCGTATGTCGTACTACTCGATTTTAAAACCGTTCTGCCATTTTTTATATCCGGCGGATGGCCACAATCTACCACTAAACGTAATTAAATGAACTTTAACATCCGCCGTGACTAAAATTGAATGTGGTGAAGACTGCATACCTTCGCAATTCGGAACATCTCCACTCCATTGTCCATTTTCCAGACATTCTCTGAAGACATTTCCATTTAACTCGTAGCCAACGACGCAAGAGAAACGCGCGATGCTGCCGAGATGCGTGGTTCCATTCAGGTATACGATATGGCCTTTATGAATATTTGGCATTCGGCCGCATCTAACATCTTTCAAATATAGCATATTTTTAAATATAGCATATTTGTTATAAAAGTAATTTAGAATGTAAAATTTACATTTGCAAGTGGGGGGTTTCCCGGACCATCTTCCATCTTGTTTACAAGTTCGCACGTTGTTTCCGATCAGACGATATCCGGGTTGGCAAGAGTATTCTATCGAAGAATGAACCGCCAGAGAGAGTTTCCCAATTCTGGCGTAACGCGGTACTTCGGGACGATAACAAGTGGTTACTACCGGAGAAAGTAATTAAAATTATTCATTTAAATATCTGCCCCACCCAAATGCGATTAAAATTCGTTTACGTCGACTTACGAGAACAGGCGGGTAGATGCCCGTGCCACTTCCCGTCCGATTTACATACGAAAATGTCGTCGTTAGACAAGGTATAGTTGACGTTGCACATGTAACGAGCCGTAGAACCCAAACTGGTTCTGTCGTTGTCGTACACGATGAAACCGTTTTCTATTTCCTGAAGAGAACCGCAGTTCACATCTTGATTTTAAAAAAACAATGAATAGAATTATCACAAATGCGATACAACGTCGAGTAGTTACGGCTAATGGACTGTTGTATACATTTGCAAGACGGAGCAACTCCCTTCCAAAATCCATCCGCTCCGCATTCCCTGGTTTTGTTTCCCATTAATAAGGAACCATCGGCGCAATCGTAAGTAATTGTTTGACCTTCGGAATAGTCGTACCGGATGGGGGAATAACTGGAATTTTCTTTCCTGTCCGGAGTTCCACAGTTTAAGGATCCTGCGGCGGATAAAATATATCGAAATTAACGTTTTTCACTTTTAATTACGTTCAAATTATTTTAAAGTCACCAACGTTCGTTCGAATTCACCGGTATTTCAAAAACAGCGCGCCTTCGTTTAAAACGGAAGCAGGGATTTCCAACGGAGTCGAGGTAAACCCGTTGGAATCTCCGATGGGGTCAATGGAAACGGAAATTTGAAAGGATCGATTCTTTGGTGAAAAAATCAATTAATTACTGTTCTTTTTCGAAAATTTCAGATAATTTTCAAATAAGAATAATAACAAACGGGTGGGAAATTCATTAACTGATTTAATAATTTATTTGCTATATTAGGAAAAGGATTGGGAAATAAACATTTTAAGGGAATTCGATTGAAAAAATAATTTGTATATGGGCAAACAAAAAAAAAAAAAAAAAGTATATTCATAACAAGCTCATTGTAACTCTTACATTTTTTGAAAGTTAGAAAAACTTCGAATCATTTTAACATCAGATTTTATATAAAATAGGAAAATAAGATATTTTCTAATTCAATTTAAAAAAAAATTTTTAAAGAAAACGTCGTAGAGAAGTAAAAACGAAGTTCTAATTAGCAACAAGAGATGAAAATAAAGGTCTCTATAGGTAAGTACACACGCACGCAACTGAGAAGAGAAACAAAGAAAAGTTCTTAAGAGTTGTCGTTTCGTATGATTTATAATTAATATCGAGAGAAATATATCGAAAGTGTTTATTATTTTTAGAAGCTATAAAAGTCTGCAGTTTGTTTCCCATCGGATGAAATTTCATCGCTTTGCCATATCGACTAACGAAACACATTCGCTAATAAACGTATGGATTATGCAAATTCCTGTCACAACTGAGAATGAATATTCTAGGCAATTTTCTGATAAATTTAAAGAAAAATTCTGAAAAATATATTTAAAAAAATCAAGTTAAAAAACACAGCTAAACTTTATTAAAACTAGAATTAAATGCGAGAAAGACTCACTGGTTTCTCTTAAAAACAATTCATGAATATCATATTCTTCTAAAATTTAGTGTAAAAAATGTATGTAGTTTTATTAATATACTTTTTATTTATTTATATAAATTTATGTATATTTTATATTCAATTTTATTTAATATTTTCATAGGAAATTTTGTTTATGTCTTGTTTGTTGTTTACAATAAATGAATTCCCCTTTTTTACCTTCTCCGTTTTTTTACATTTTTATCATTTAAATATTAATATTTTCTTATTTTATTGTTATTATTTTTATTTATTTATCATTTCTTATGTTTTTTACTTTAAGAATAGCAATCAAAATTGAAATTGATGAACAAACAAAAAAAAAAAAAAATAAGAATTTCTTCATCTTAAATCAAATTTATTTATTAAATCGCTAAAGAAATGACTTATTTATTTATATTTTATATATTTTTAAACAAATTTATATTCTACAATTAATAAATTTAATATTGGTATAGTTTTGCTACATTGTTTGTGTCTGTGGAGTTTTAATGATGAGAATTGAGTAAACTCTCACGAAAATATTAAGGTTTACTTTATTTCTTTATCGAACATTTCATCTCTGTTTTCTTTTAAAATATTTATCACAAAAATTACAAGCCTGCAGCCATTTTTCTTGATATTCCTCCTTTGCTAGCCGGATGTACTTATTATATCAATTATATTCTCCCCTCCATTATGTCAGATAATTGAGATTAAATTAAGAAACAATGGTAGAACTACAGCAGATAGTTGAATACAGTTTTAAATTCGCCTCTTCGTTTGTCAACAATGTAACAAATTAATTTTGTCTTGTGAGGAATTAACTCGCTACATCTAAGTTTACATGTCACTAGAGATCTTTACAATAATCCTCACTTTGCTGTAAATATATCACACTTTGTTGCTAGAATCCTTTACAATGATCCTTATTTAGTCACTGGATCTTCAAAGTAGCCTCACCTTATTGCTTAAATCTTTTATAAATAATATTTATTCCGTTGATAGAATCCTTTACAGAGAATCTAGATTTTATTCTCGTACAGCACTAACATTAAACTTNAATACACTGTGTACAGTAATTTACCTGATAAGACAGACCTCAGAAAAATACTTTATGAGAGCTTTTATACTTTTATAAAGCTGTCTATAATGAAAATTAATTAACTAAGGATTTTTTCGCCCTGCCAAGGTGTGGACCAGTTATCCGGAGTGCTAAGTTATCGAGGGACGAGTTTTCGAGGTTCTACTGTATTATTATTATAAGTAACAAACGTTTAAAGACAAATAGTTACAATTACGATTCTTTTCTCATCTCAAACCCATCAGTTATTTTAGTAAAAATATATTTTTTTGTCTTCTCGTCGTCGTATTTTTTCGATATTTTTCTATCGTTCTCCCGATTCGTCTTAATTAGGAGTCGTTTAAACATTGATTAATTGAAAGTCCGGTAAATTACAATATTTTAAAAATAGCATTAAAAATATTTTTAATGCTATTTTTATTTATTTATAGTGACACGGTGGCAATGCTGGGCTGCAATTTTAATCATATTTTTAATTTATTTCATTTAAAATTAATAGTGGCTTGCATCATACTTTTCCTTCAACAGTAGAGAAGTACCGGCCACCTATTAACTGCTTTCGGAGGTGAAGTTTTGAATCGAAATAACGTGACTTCCGGTTTGCGTCGGAAGATTTTATATAGTTAATCGGGCCCTCCCGCCCTTAAGGTGTCCATATCTGGTCTCGGATTTCATCTATCTAATTCCGTTCTCGAGATTAAGGAATGACAGACGGACGACAGTGGGAATTTACAGGTCTACAATTTAGACCGGTACGACTCTACCGTTAAAGGAAAAGTATGATGTACGGGGGCGAGCCACTATTAATTTTAAATGAAATAAATTAAAAATTTGCAGCCCGGCATTGTGACCGTGTCACTATAAATAACTGTTCGTTTTGAATTCAAAATTTTTAGCTCGTAAGTGTTCCTTACGTTTCTGAATAGAGGCTGTCCATATATTACATCGTGGGAAAATGAGTCGATCTTTTTTATCCCCCCATTCCTTCCTGTCGTCGAGCGTCGTCGGTGTAAAAGTCCTTCTCCTCGATATTACATCGTAATCGACACAACTCCAATTTATTAATAAAATAGACAATTAAATCGAAGTATAATCAATTTCGTATTGTTATCGGAATTTACGATACACACATAAAATATCAAGTTCTAGTGGTTTCGACCCACTCTCCAGTTATTCAATCTTTCCGATTGATTCCGCATGCTTCGAGCTTTTCTTCGATTGTGAAGGAAGAACGTTAAACTGTCAAAAGTACGACGGCTACGACAATAAAAATGTTAAGTAGCGATGACATCGTCTCGACGTCACCAACCTTCGCGGATGTGTTTAATCCCCACTCCGGGATTAACCACGACGTAACATATGAAAGGCCCTTTAGCAGAAGTTAAAATTTTGAATCAAATCTGCTCGGAGATGTTGAATGGAAGAGTGGTGACTTACTGTACTGACAAATCCAGGAAATGTCGTCCAAATCGCATCTGATGTCATTCCACAACCAATTATTATTACCGTCCAAGACGATACAATTCTGTTGTTTGTTGTAATTGTTGGGTTGATCGTCGGCCCACGAAAACCTCTCGATTTTCGCTTCTAAAATTTGAAAAATATTCACTAAAAAGGTAAAAAATTCTCTACTTTTTGTTTTTTTTTTTGGACACACGACGAGAAGTGCCGTTTCTAAAACACTAGACTGTTAGACATCCTTTATTCGTCCTTTTCGTCCTTTATTCGACGGGGAACAAAGGACGTCGAATAGTGTAGTGTTTTAGTAACAACACTTTGTCCTGTTGCAAACAGCAATCTCGCCCCTTTAGAGTCGGAGAGCGAACTTACTGTTAATCCAGTACCAGTCGGAAGATCGATACTTTTCCTCCAGTCGAGCTCCCAACCAAAAAAACAAAGACTTTAAATCGTCTTTTCTCTTTTTCAGTTCCGCCGAGACGAAGTTTTGGGTGCTGTTTTTGACGTCGTGGATCACATCACCCCGGTGACTACTACAGTAATTTCTGGCCGCTTGAAAGGAATCGCTGAGATGCGTGACGAACTCGTAACAGGTGCGGTTGAAAACGGCGAAATTCGTTAGATTCTTCTCTCGGCCGCATCTGCTAACGGCTAATTCTGTCCAATTGTATAAATTATAATTAGTAGTTTTATAAGCGAGTATTTAAACGCGAGAAAAATCAAAACCTTGAGTAGTAAATATCTGGACGTCGCATAAAGAGAGAATTCCTCGCACTCCCACTAATTGAATGTAAACGTATCTTCCTACGTTGGGATAGGTGCACTTCAACGTTTTCGTCACTCCGTTACCTTCCAAAATATAATATAATTAACGAATAAGGATAGTTTACGGTTGTAATTATATAATACAGTATTAATAATAAATGAATAACAGATTAAAAATTCGTCCGACTTACGTAAAATATCGGGATGCCAGATACACAGTTTAGCGTCGGAACTGCTGTTACCCACGCGAATTTCGATGTCGTATAAATGGTATTCGGCTGAATAAATAAAGAAAATTTCCGGTTAAGTTGTTATAAAACGCTGGAATACGAGTAAATGTAACATAAGGCGGTGACAACACGGTCGGAAAAGGTTTGTCTTTCCCGCAATACTCGAACGGTGCCGGTAGAGAAAGGCTTTACTGCCGGACACCGTTGTGGCAGGATTCCCTTCTCCCTAACTTCTTGCGTAATGTAGGTACGATGCCTTTTTTATAGCTCGCGGGCGGCGCCGATCGTTCGTCGTAGGAAAGCGTGTTTCTTATGTTTTTAATGCGTAACGACAAATAACACAGTCGAGGGCGTCCTCCCGTACCGACAATAAAAAATAAAACTGTGACGGAAGCCGGTTGCGCGCTTTAAAAAGCCACGAATGTCTCGGGATTTTTAAGCGATCGGAGAAGCGGACACGAGAAGATAAAAGGAATTACCGCAACAGTTTCGACTGGTGACTTGTACGTATTTCACTCTGTAGGGACGCAACAGATCCACGCTCCACCAGGGGGACGTCTGTAGTTTGGTTTCGCTGCAAGACTCCGCGGGTCCGTCGTTGGCTCGAAACGATTCTCCGTTCTTGGCCGTGCTCGATTGGTTGGAGGGTTTTCCGTGGGCCACGTTGACCGCTTCCAAATTCCAATGGTTAAATTAAAGTTAGAAAACATAAATTTACAAACATTTTTATTAGTATTTTACCACAGACTGGTTCTTCTCCGCTCCACGTCCCCGTCGAAAGACAATTACGCGTCGAAGATCTATAAATTTTTGTAATTATTAAATTGTACTTGGTTCTATACGAATACCGTAAAACCTGTCTACGACGGAACGGTATCGCATCCACCAAACCGTTTACGAAGTGCCATCTCTACTACAGATTTTATCACCGCCAGTTACGGTATTAATTAAGATTTAAAATTCGTTGGTCGCTACGCCGAAAAATTACTTTAGGTCGCGGGTGGCCGAGAGGTTCCGACGTTTCCGTTTTAGACAGGTTTGAGAATAATAATAATAAAATAAACGTACCCGAAGAGCCGGTAACCTTCTTCGCAGGAATAAGAAGCGGCGGTCCCGGGTATTAAATGACTGTCGGAGACGTTAACGCGGCTGTACAGGGATTGGGAAGGCATCGAACATCTCGCTCCTGCCAAAACAATAGATTATTGTGATAGATAACGGAGGATGCAGTTCCTCTACTGGGTTTTGCGGTTTCTCGTTCTTTTCGAAACAATTACGGTCGGTTTGTATCGCCGTTCGGTGTTATTAGTGATTATTTGGCCTAAAGGACGAATCGGAGAGCCACCTAGGAAGATGCGCTCCTTCGAGACGAAGGCCTTGACCCGGTATAAAAACACCAAGAATTGACGGCAACTTTTCGTCTCGCCCGAATATGCAAACCAAGCAAAACGGATTTTCTTGTATTTTTGCTTCGTTGGAACGAAAATGTCGATGTTCGTAGATTGGTCGACTGGTCCAGCCGCGTTAGACCGCGCACCAACGAGAGGAAAGTAGGACCGAGCCAGACGTTTTTCGATCTAGCAGCCGATAGCCGAACACTTGGGAGAAATTGCCGTTTTTACCAGAAAGTGTGCGAAGTAGTAAAAGGGTTTTCTTAAGAGACGACGAACTTTTTGTATCTGTCCCGGTGTAACGAACCCGTACACGGAATATCTTAAATCTTTAATTCGATATAGCAAGAAATTGTTATTCTGTCGACTATCGAGACGCTACGGGCCGTTTATATTCCACGTCTGCGATGAGATTCGGCAAAAGAAGCCACTCCCCTTCCTCCGCAATTGTCGAAATGAGGTTAAATCCTCGAAATTACCGTCCCATTTCTTCTCCTTCTTTCGACTTTGCACCTATTTTAGCGGAACGTCTTAGCAGAAAAACTGATTAATAAGCGCTACGTTTGTCGAGTTGAGATTTAAAAAGCGCAACAATAAAACAAGACGAGAAGCTTCGTCACAATTATTTAACCACGAAGAACCCGGTGGTATCTCTTATCCGAGATAACTTTTATGCGGGAGGTGTGTTTAGAAGAGTGCGGTAAAATGAATCACTTTGAATAATCGTTTTTGTACGCATTCCGGGTCTCGACAATTATAGTTTTAACCCATTGTTCTATTTTAATTCATATTTTTAGTTTTCGCATCACATTTTTCGACATAAAATCTTTAACAATGACTCTCTGCCGGGTAAATTCGTTTTAGTTTTAATTGTTTGGATTTTAAAGAAATTCCACAAATTTTGTACTCGGCATACGATACTTATATATGCCTTTTCACGCATCAATTTTAAAATAAAAATATTTCTTTCTGGCTTTAATCGGGGCCAGATTTTTAAGGGAATCGTCGAGTGCCGAAGAGGAGTTTAAACCCGAAAAACCATTATTCAAAGCGATTAATTTTACCGCGCTTTTCTAAACACATCCCGTATTAAGTGTGAACATTTGTCGATTTGTGAGATTTAAGAAGTACAGAAAGGATTATCTGGCGGGGATCCTTCGAGCCCGATTTTCTTTTCAGTTTATTTGAAGGATCGAGATAGAAGTTTACGAACAGCTACGGCTGCAAACAATACTCCGATTGTAACGGGAAAAGATTTCGTAAAATAACAGTTTTGTATTGGAAAGTCGAACCGTTGGATATTTGAAACCGGATAAATTGTGATTTCTTCTTCGCCCATCTTCCCATCTCCCGTAAATATCTTAAATCGAGAGTTTAGAGCCAGACAATTAGCAGCCATTTAATTAGCACGAACGATTAGTAGATCAATTAAGTAAGTAGCATTAACTATTGGCAATCTACTACGCAATCTAAATATCGCCACGTCGGAGTCGTTACTCGGGATTTACGAATGTCGACAATTTCGTCGTCGATCACGAGCTCGGTACAAACGTTTCGTTTATGGCGCAGACTCTGTACGGGAATTACATTTTCAAAAAAAAAATTGACCGTTTCGCTTGGCTAGTGTGGTTTTTCGTCGAATTCAGTGGTTATTTATACGTACTGTACAGTACGCGTGTCCTTCCTCTTTCTCCCCCTTTTGCCTTTAAGGAACGAAGGAATAATAATTATTATTATTGTACGTGACGACTAGCGACCTTTTTCCCATACTCGCAACGCACATTTTACAGGGAAACCCGCTAAGCGAGGACTGTTTCTATCGGGATACCGTATAAAACGGAGTCGGTGGATTTACGTTTACGGGGTATTCGCCTACGATTATGTAAAAGTTAGGCGAAAGTCTCTTAAGAAGGCCATCTTCCGTCCTTCTCGACCTCGCGTAGTAATTTCGATTCAATTCTTTATTGTACGAACCTTAGTTCATTACAAGAGGCTAAAGTATTAATTAAAAACTGAAGTTATTACAATTTAACAAATTAATATACAGTAATAATAAATTTTTGAAAAACGATAAATGAATTACATCTTTGCAGGATTTAAATCGTGTCAAATATTTTTTTCCTGTTTGTTTTAAATTTGATGCAGTGAAAGAACACGTTCCCAAGTTTCATACATTTGCGAACTACAGTTACTATAAATTCTCTCGGGGTCTATTATTAGTCTAGTTTTATACTTCAAAATATAATTTTCACCACATCTCGGCTGTAGAATTAATCGTTTTACATAATTTATATCTATAAACAAATAATCCTCACACAAGTTGTTTTAAAACGACGATATAATTGGAAATCCTTGTTCTTTTCCAACAACGACCGATCTTGTACGCTCTGTTCGCAACATAGTTATAATTAATGTTTGATAACTTTCGATCATATGAGGATCTTGGGACAACCATAGAAATGAGAAACCGTGTAGATCTAACAGATTTTTCGATGTCAACGTCCAGTTATATGTAGAATTATCCATCATTGGAGACAATTTATACAGTCGTGATACACTACTTTAACATAACTGTTATCCCGTAGTTTCAACAGTCTAATCCAAAGAAACTATTGCTTTTATTATTAATACCGATATTCTAAAAACACCAAACTCCAATCGCAACTCGTAAGCTGGAATTTTATGGTACAACGTAAAAATACTGTACTTCGAAGATATAAAGCGAGGGCAATTTCCATTTTATCGCGATAAATAATTGCATACGTAAGAACAGCGTAAAGTAGTACGGATGAAATCATCGAGTGAAATAATTTTATACGAATATGAGCAGAATTAGTTTTAGCTTTTGAAAGAATAGACCGCATAGAACCCAGTGCCATTTTAGTCTGGCGAATACTATAATTTTTAGTCCGTAAAAACTGTCCAGAAGACAAAAATAATTCTCCCGGGCACACGTAATAGGAAACGACTCGTATAGGCCGATTATTAAAAGACCATCTCTCTCTAGGTGATAATCTACCACCCTTCTCGAACACCATCGCTGTTGTTTTTGAAACATTTAGGACTATAGTTAAGCCATAGTCACGATAGAATTCCCGTAAAATCGTAATTTTCTTTCGCACCATTTGTGGAGTATCGGCAAGAATTGCGGTGTCGTCACCATACATTAGTACACGTAACTCGCCTCGATCGGAGAGAGTCATATTTAGCGAAGTCCCGGATAGGTCATATTTAGCGAGTTCCACTATCAACCCATTTACATATAAATTACAAAGTAGTGGGCTTAGAATCTCACCCCGCAAAACTCCAATGTAAATACTAAATGAATGGGTCGTTTCGGCTAAAATCTTTACTCTCGCAGTGGTTTTGGAGTATGTCAATTATAAGGCCAAGAAACTATTTATTCATACCCATTCTTTCTAATAGAGATCATAAAACTTTATGACTAACGGTAACAAATGTAGATTTAAAGTCTACAAAAGCAGCATAAAGTTTTCCTTTTTTTTTTTTTTGCAATTTCAATTGCATCAATGCGTTTAATACAAATATTTGATCCCGGAGAGATCGGCCGGTTCGAAAACCCGCTCGCTCCCGACAAAATATCATTTAATAATCCAATCTTCTAATTTTTTATTTAATAAAGACGTAAATAGTTTACCAATTACAGGAACCAAAGATATAGGCCGATAAATTTTGGGGTCACACGCGTCGCCTTTTATATATATTGAAATAACCAAAGATTCGATCCATTTTTTCAGGAAAGTAGAATTTCTTTTAATAGAGTTAACGTTGAAACACTGACGAAAACAATTACACCGCCTCCCTTAGTTACGTGGTAAGTAAAATCACCTTATTTATCTCCCGCCAGTAATCCATTTAAACGCGCAACTGTTATTTTCACAAAAAAAATTGATAGAGAAATTTCCCTCTATTATTAAAATCTGCGTATAAAATCAAGTTAGTTCCACGTAGAAAGTAGTTTTCTATAGGAAACAAAGTATTCTTGGAATCAACGTCGTAGTTATTATCGGGCGGAATATAGGACACTATTAACCGAATGTTGGTTAATTCGTCGGTATCTAGTTGTAAAATCGATACAGTGTCCGAATTCAGTTTAAGTCCGACAATTAAGCTTTCCAGCTACGACATATGTGACGATAAAATTTATAATCACGAGAGAACATGGATTCAACTACTGTGTGTGTCCGTTTCCACCATTTTGTATATCAGATTCCAGAAATTTATTACGTAAACCCGCAATACCGAAGAAGAGAAGTTTCGTATTATCGTCTTTATCCAAATACGGATCATCGTATCGGCCATTATAAATTATATTCCCAAAAAAGACCGTTCTTTTCTTTTCCATAGAGTCCCACAGCTCCGGTACTGGTCGAATAGTCATCATTAATGAATTTTAAATTACTAACATTTTTATAAACTTATCTTCAAAATCAAACAGTTTAAATTTTCCAGTTCTAAAAGCGCGTTTAATATTGACATCCGCTACCTTTAATTTATCGTCGAAAAGTTTTTAAACCTTCGTAAGAGAACAATATTATCCCTTGTAATTTCGTTAAGTTTTCCGATTATTACAGATTACATTAACTTCCGTATTTTGTTTGTCATTTCTCTATCGGTTTCCAGGACGGGTGGGGTAGCCCGGATCCACATCTATCAACGCTCGCGCGCTGTCTAAACGGTTCAAAAGTGTTTCTAAATTATTATTTGAAGAGGCTGGCAGTTTAGTTCTCGAATGTTCGGCACGACGTCAATCGTTCCCAGACGTTTTCTTTTC